TTTCAGCTTTCTCAAAAAAAAAAAAAAAAAAAGAACGACGACCCTTGCAAGAACGGAAAAGCCATCAGCGCTGATAAATAAAATGTTAGCGCTGCACCGTCGCACCGACTGTCTGCTCTGGCGCGTATTCTTATTAAACGCATCTGTATACGTGTGTATATATACGTACACTTGAACTCTGTGCTTTTCGCCTGGGGTGCGTTAGGGGGTGCGTGGACGATGTGGCTCGGTGAAGCACGCACACGTATAGATCCCAGCCACCCTCACTCTTTCTCTCTCTCTGCTGTTGCTGGCTGCTGCTACCGCTACCGCTGCTACCAGTGAAACGCATGCACTCCAACCAAACAAAAGCGACCTGTGCCACCCTTACCCCTTTCCACCTCCATCAGGCAGCTTTATGCTGCTCTTACGTAATGCTCCGACTTATGTCTACCTATAGGAGATTGATCGAGCTTGCACAATCTCGTCAACGTATAACCCTATCAGGTGCCAAGGAAATTAGCGAATCGGACGTTGTACGATCCTCGTGAAACGTTATCGTTTGATCGTAGGTACGGTAACTATTACTTTGATCAAAAGCCTCGTATTCAAAGACGACAGACGACATGTTGCCTAGAATACTCAACCTCGTGTTTAACGTTTTGCCTGTCCAACAAGGAAGTCAAGATTTTTCTCGCCACCGTGAGATTCCGCGAACCGTCGACGATTGGAAGAATCTTGTAATGGCGAACATGCATACTCTTGTTCGTCTGGGAGTCGTTCGCTTCTCACGGCGACTCCTTTTTCTCAGACGTCGTCACGGAAAACAACGTAGAAGCATTTCTTTTGCGGCGACGCATCGTTTGCAACTTCAATAATCCGACGAATGGACTGACACGAACGAAGAACACCAATGGCCACCGCCAGTCGCATAGTCTCGTTATATTTTCTCCTTCCGCGTCATTATACCGCCGCGAGACAAAAACTTTCGCCCTGCGGATTTTCTTTTCTGCGTTCACCCTTTAAGTAAACGGGCGTTTACTGGGGCAAAGTGAGCCACCATCCATAATTATTGTCCGTATTCGAAGAACCGACACGTAATATTCACGTCGTGCAAATTCGCCCGAGTTTATAACAGCGGAATGGAAATTATCGTCATTAATGACAGGCTGAAAGTGCACGGCACCGGTATTCGTTTCGACCCGCAGCCTCCTCTTGACTTCTTGACGACGTGCGTGTAAAAGTACCAAGAAATCGTGACACGGCGGAGCGGCTTTTGCCGCGTTTATTATGTGCAATGTAGGGGGGACGAAGTGGCACATAATTTTTACGAAAGAGAAGCTCGACTCGATCCAAGGGATTCAATCCGTCCGTTTCTCAACCCCTTTTCACAAGCGTTTGACGCCAATCCCATGCTCTCACCCGACTTTAAGATATTCGACTCTTTAGACGGTTTTAGATTTCCTTTTTATTTTCTTCGTATTTTACTTGAACTTTCATATACGTTTGCGTCGAAGAAAAATGAAGACGCTCCTTTTTCCGCAGTTTACGAAATAATTTTATCTTCACAAGTACGATGAGTTTCGTATGGACTTTACCGCTGCAAAGCAACGGGATGACAACTGGACAATCTCCGTAACGAAACTCGTTTAAATGTGCCGTGACTGGATGCACGAACGCGAGAATGCATCGTGTGCAGAAACTGTATGTATCATCAAGAGATAACGCTTGTATAAGAGATGGCGATGGATCGGAGAATCGGTTCGTACTTAGTCGGATAGGGGACGAAACGAGTCTTATTAGAAAAAAGAAAACGTATAAATAAAGATACTTTATCCGAGCAATGTCGCACGCGGGAAGTTGGCAACATTCTAATTTCTTGCGTCGCGATCTTCGAGCGTTGATTTTAATTGATTCGTCCCCTCGGGCGTTAACGAAGTCCACTTGTTTTACACAGCAGCTGCATTTGTGCGGGATCGCCTGGTGGTGTATACGTAGCACAAGGGAATTGTAAGTGTGGCGCCGGCGTTTCCAATCTCGTATCCTACGTCCTAGCGTAGCGCCATTCCGAGCAGTGTTTTTTTACCTCGTGCCAGGGAAAAAGCGACGCGATACTCTGCCGACCGTAAACAC